GCTGCCAAGCTCTTCGAGGGGGGAGGGGGGGCTCGGTGACGGCCAAGTATTCCGAGGGCGACGTGCCCGCTTTCCACTTGCTGTCCTGCTTATCGGCGGCTTCCACCCGCTCAGCGGCCGCGCCCTGGCAGGGTTTGGGGGCTGCACTGGCACGAGACGCCGGAGCCCCCCCCGTGGCTACAGGCCCCCCTCGGTCAACAACCCTGGCCACCGGTTCCGACAGCCGCCCCTCCCACCCCCTGGATTCAAAGTCCCGACGCTTCGTGTCCACGTGCCCGCATTTTGGGCGGCCGCTTGCCGGCTCCCGGGGTCACGTGGCTGCGGCTCCGGCCAGAGACCGAGGTCGCCCTCCGGACGTCGGGAAAGGCCGGACGCCCAGTGCGGACCGCGGGCTCGCTTTGACGGCCTCTGCACTAGAGGCGGGAGAACCTGGCCGGTCACCCGGTGCTGACCTCGGGACCGACCGTCAATCCGGGCTCCCTTACAGTCGTAAACCGAGGACCGGCTCTGCCGAGCCGCGCCGCTGACCCGGGGCTTCAGGGGGCCCCCCGCGCCATCGGCCGGGCTGCGCTCCGTCTCTTGCGAAGGGCGAGACGGGCGCCTCCCAACCACGGGCGAGGTGCTAACCGAGCCCGCCTCCCGCCCCGTCTCCCCGGGCCGCCTCACTGCTCCCGGGCTCCGCTCCCGCCCTCGGGAAGCCCCCCCGTCGGAGCCCGCCGAGCGGCCCCTCCCGAGCGCGGAGCCCCGCCCCCTCGCCCGACGACACCCGAGAGCGGGCTCGAGCGACGGCCCCTCCCGCCCGGCATTACGAGCGCTGCCGGCTTTGCTCCTTCGCCAGCCCCGCCCCCTCGGAGAGGCCCTCGGGGAGGGAAGGGAGCAACAGCGACTTGATTGGCCGCCGCCGCCTGACGCAATAGGGAGCGTCCCAAGCCGGGCGGCGCTGGGGTCTCCTCCTGCAGGGCGCGTGCGCGGCCGGGTGGGGCGGGAGGCTCCCAGGGAGTCGCGCAAGCGTTTCCGGGCTGTAGTTAAAAGGCGGAGCCTGGAATCCGCCACGTGGTTTGACCTTCAGAGGGCGGATCCCGGCTCCTCCCCCAAGACCGCCCCTCGACGGGGGGCGGGGGCTTTGGGCAGACCGCTTCGGGGAGGGAAGGGGAAGGGGGAGGGGGAGGGGGCGGCTTTCCCAGAGCGCTCGAGACCCCCCCTCGCTTCCCCTCCCCTCCGGAGCGCAGAGCCGGGGAGGGCGGGACCCCGAGTCAGGCCTTTCTGACGGGGAGCTGGCTTCACACAACCCGCTCGCCCTCCCTCCTGCTCCGGCAACCTGCTGTGCCGTGGAGAGAAACCCTCTGCGGGCTTTGTGCGAGGGAGGGAGGGAGGGGCTCGTGGCGCCCGCAGACCCGTCCTCCCCCGGCCTTCCGTGGCTGCGGTTCCTTTTGAACCATTGCACCCCCCCACGCCCCCCTTTCCCATCAGGCCGGAGCCCCCCCGGAGCCCCCGCTGCTCTCCCGCCCGAAGCACCGCCGGGAACCCCCCGCACCGTGGCCAGCCGAGAAGCCCCCCCGCCCTCCCTCAGTGGGTCACCTCCCCCCTTCGCTCGCGCCCCCCTCCCCCCGTCTCCCGGGGAATCTGACGCCTGGCTTTGGGGTCCTGTGGGAGAGCTCGAGGGGGACGCGGCCCGATCTCCCTGGGACCACGGGAGCGGCCGGCAGATCTCCCCGGGGAGGGGGGGCGCAGGGCTGCCTTCTTGCACGGCCCTTTCTCAGACTCCGGCAGCCCCCGGTCCGCTAACCCAGCTGGCGTGGGCTCGGCGCAGCTTCTGCCTCGGCATAAAATGGGCTGGTCAGAAGTCGGGGCTGAGTTGGCGGGTCTCCCCGAGAAGCAGCTGGGAAGGATCAGGCCCACCTATGGGTGCCCGGTGTCTCCTTCCCGGGGGGGGCGGCGGCGGCGGCGGGAGGAGGGTTACGGGAATTCCTCCCGTTCCGTCCAGAGATCAGGGAAGGCCTTGGCAGTTTCCCGGTCTCGACGTGCCAGAGGAAGGCAAACATCGCCCCTATTTGCAATAGTGGGGGAGGGGGGAATCTGGCGCAGCGCCGGCCTGACTCGGACCGGCAGGGGTGGGGAGGGGACCGCGGGGCGGACGGAGCTGCCGGCCTCTCCTTACAACCTGGACTCTCTGGGGCCCTTAGCCGAATCCTCACCTGAAAGGTCACAGAAGAGCAAGTGGGCTTTGGAGTTCTTTTGGGTGCGCATTCGTGGATGTGGTTGTGTGTGTGATCTCCAGCCCCCCTGCTGGAATGGTCCAGGACACCCCCAAATCAGCCTGGCAAGGAAATGGCACAGGTGGGCAGGGGTTTCCTTTCCTTGGGAATCGTAAATGAGCAGAGTAGGGAGCGGTTGGTATCTTTGCAGGGAGGGGGGAGCAAGAATCCTCTGTCCCTTCCTCCCCCTCCCCCTCCCCCTCCCCCCCACTGAGGACCAGGGATGGGCACAGAGAGACTTGCACAACCTGGGAATTTCCTCATAAGTTGGGAGCCCCACTCAGCTCCCGCCGCCTCCATCCATTCACTCTGCCTGTGAGTGTGTGAGGGGGGGGGGAAGCACCATGTGCTGTTTCCTCATTCTGCTTCAAGAGTTTCTGGGAACCTGGCTTATCATCTGTAAACAGGAACGTGCCTGACCTTTTAGCATTAGTCTGATCTGTGCATGTTTGCAGAAATTGGATTGAAAAATCCACTGAACATTTCGTTCCCCTCTGACTCTGCAGGTTTGGAGCAGCAGCGTCTCCAGCATTTGTGTGGTGCGTCTTTGCCCATTTTTCTAAACACAACAAATGTTTCACTGCCTTCAAGACTGTAACAATTAGGGGGGAAATCCCCCATTCCTGCAGTGGAAGATGGTCCTTGGATGTATCCCCCTCCCCTGGAAGATGCTTTAGAAAAGTTGCTACAGAGAATTATAAGTGCCCAAGAACGTTGCAGAGCGGCACACTCCCATTACAGGCAGTTCTCAACTTAAAACAGTTCATTTAATGACTGTCCAAAGTTACAGTGGCCTTGAAAAAAATGATTGCAACGTCCACACAGTCACGTAACCAAAATTCAGATACTTGGAAACTGATTCATATTTACGATGGTGGCTGTATCCTGGGGGTCACATGACCCCCTTTTGTGACCTTCTGACAAGCAAGGTCAATGGGAGGCCGGATTTACTTAACAACCGTGTGACTAGCAACTGCAGTGATTCACTTATCTGTGGCAAGAAAGGGAATCTGCTTTTGTGGATGCAGCACCACCCGGTGTTCTACTTTTCTGCAGTTTTTTTCTTTTTGCAGATAATTCTTCCTGGGCCAGAGGTGGCCCTGGCGTCTTCTCCTCCTGCTGAGAACCCCCATGCTTGTCCCTGCCCGACTTTCATTCTGCCCTCACTCTTCGGCTTTTGCTTCAGTCTTGCAGGGTGTGGGTCCTCCCACCCCAGCGCCTGGGAGGTCTGCCTTCTTCCTTCAAGCCATTAATAATGATTCTGAGGACCCAGGACTGGCCGTTAATGCCTTGACCAGATGATTGTTGGCAAAGTATAGCTAGCCATCCTAATAAAGACATCACCTCCCGGGCTCTGAAAGGTTTTTGTTTTTAGTAATTTTGGAGGCCATCATTTTGCCTGTCGCTAAGAGGTCCCTTTAAATCTGGTTAGCTTTCGTCCAGTACTTCTTGTCTTGTTCCCCAAAGTGCTCCAGGGCAGGACAAGGAGTAACAAGTGGCAGAAGAGAGGCTCAACCTAGAAGTAAGGAGGAATTTCCTGGCAGTGAGAACAATTGACCGACCTGCGGGAGGCCTTCCCTCCAGATGAAGTGGGTGCTCCCTCACTGGAGGCCTTTAAGAAGAGACTGGGCAGCTATTTGTCCAGAATGGTCTGGGGGTCTCCTGCTTGCGTGGGTGGGGGGGTTGGACTAGAAGACCTCTGAGGGCCCTCCTGTTATTCTGTAACTCTTCTGTCCTTGAGGAGATTTCTGGTTTCGCTCCAAAAACTTGCAAGGTTTCGGCCAGGTGGCTGCTTTGGGCCTGAATCCTTCCCTGCTCTGAGCAGACAGCCAAACAACCCCCTCCAGGGAGGGCTTGCCATCCAGAGGTTGTGTGTGTGTGTGTGGGGTGGTGGTGTTTCACTTTCTGGAAGCCTTCAGCTTGACAGTCAGCTTGAGAGGAGCAAGGGAGGGGGGGTGGCGGGGGCATTCCTGGGCCTGACCTCTTGTCTGCTGAGTACACAGAGCAGGTCCACAGAACCTGTCCTTCCGGCTTCTTGCCCGGGGCCAGCTGGGGAAGGGACAGGCAGGCAGGATGTCTCCCCCCACTTCAGACCCCCACTCAACAGCCCAGCCCGAGCCAGGCCCTGGACCCCCCCCAAAGTTCCGCATCTGCTCCTGTAGTAGCAATGGGGTGTCTCTGAACAGAGCGGGGGGGGCTCAACTTCACCCAGGCCATTGAAGGATTCCCAGCAGCCAGGGAGGGGGTGGGGGGGGAGGAGGAATGACTCCTGGGGGGGTGGCATTGATTTTAGCAGCAGATCAAACTCAACTGTTTAGCCTGGAGTGGGGGGAAGGTATGGGGGGGGCTGCCATGATGGGGCACAAGGGGTTAAAGTGGGTGGTCCGGCTTAGGCAATGGGCGGGGTGCTTTTCCCCAGTTGGGAAACATCCAGCTGCCCCGATATAAGAGGCCGGGCACCAGGCTAGGCTGGCAGCACAGCATCATGGGTGGCCTCTCTGCAGCTCTCTGCCTCAGCTGGGCCCTGGCGCTGGTGGGCACCCACCCCCTGTGAGTGGCTGTGGACCAGGGGGGCACGGGGGGGGAGGGGATAAGCCCAGTCCTGGGAAGGGGCCAGAGGCTGGGCGCTCTGCCGTGGTGCTGAGTGATGAGATTTGCAGGGGGGGCCCTTGAGCCAGGATCCTACCGGGGATCCCCTTTGGCTCTCGGGCTGTGAGAGGGCACGCTCTGAATGACCAAACCCTAATGGGGATTTTCCTGGCAGGGGACACGGTGGCAACAGGACAGCCGGCACCTGGCATCATCTGGGCTCGGAGCCTGCAGCCAACAGCACAGGTGGGGGTGGGCTTCCCTCTGGGCAGAAGCAGACCCTGCAAGCTGCTCTTCTTTGGGATCCCACCTGGGAAAGCCCGCTTCCCCCAAATCTCCCTCTCCTTCCCTGGTGGGTGGGGGAAGGGGAGGGGTTTTCCCCTGGGGAGCCCCCAGCACCCCACCCTGAAGGCTGGGCCCACTTCAGCCAGGGGAGCACTAAGGGACGGCCAGACGAGCGGGGGGGGCTGGGAGGAGGGAGCTTCAGTCACCGACTTTCACCCTCAGCCAGGGGAGTCTTCCAGGCCTGCAGATTGGGGAGGGGGGTGAGCGGGGAGGGGGCTGTTGTGGACATGAGCCTCCTCTGCAGATTGGGAGGGGCTCTGGCTGGGGGGACCCTCACTGCAGTGCGTGGGTGTGGGTGTGTGTCACTGACTGCCATCTCCACTGTTCCCCCCCAGAGGTCACACAGCGCTGTGCGGATGAGGAGGGCTTTGACGCCGTCACGCTGGACGAGACGGGCACCATGGTCTTCTTCAAAGGCTCTTCGGTCTGGAAGGGCTTCACGGGCGCTGCAGAGCCCATTGAGGACTCCTGGCCTGAGATCCATGGCCCCATCGACGCCGCCCTCCGGATCCACTACAACGACCCCCAGGAGGACATCCATGACAACGTTTTGCTCTTCCAGGTGCTGCCAACCTGCAGGCAGGCTTGGGGGGGGCAGCTGGGGCCGCCAGGGAGGGAAGGCTGTGGCGGGAGGCTGGCAGGCTCGGGCAGAGGCGCGTCTAGGGGCATGGACAGGCAGTCGGGAGGCTGTGTGAAATGGCGGTCTTGCATCCCCTCGCAGGGCAAGAAGCTCTGGGCGTACCGCAAAGGGAAGCTTCGGTCCGGCTACCCCAAGCTGATTGAGGAGATGTTCCCGGGCATCCCAGCCGATCTGGATGCAGCTGTGGAGTGCCACCCGAAGGAATGTCCATCTGAGACCATCCTCTTCTTCAAGGGTGAGAAAGGCTCCCTCGCTGGACGGTCCAAGGGCAGGTCGGAAGCCTCTGTGCCTCGCCCACTGGAGGGAGGTGTTTGCTCCTTTGCTCTGGCTGCTGTTGCTGCCCCCTCCAGGGCCCCCACCCCTCCCCCCTCCAGCACTGACCCCCCTTTCTCTGCAGACCAGAGGGTGTTCACCTATGACCTGCGGACGAAGGCGGTGAAGCCGCGTACCTGGCCAGCCGTCTCCAACTGCACCGCGGCCGTGCGCTGGCTGGAGCGCTACTACTGCTTCCAAGGCATCCACTTCCTGCGCTTCGATCCTCTGCGGGGTGATGTGCCACCCCACTACCCACGGGATGCCCGGGATTATTTCATGCGCTGCCCTGGACGAGGTGGGTCTCCTCTTGCCCGTGGCTGCTGGGAAAGATGCAGCCGAGCCCTGGGCAGGTGCCTGGCCTGCAAGAGAGGGACGCAGGAAATCTTTGGCCTTGGATGTCGGGCAGGGTGAGGCCGTGGTGCACCCTAAGGAGGCGAGGGGGGGGCTCTTCCTGACTGGGAACCAAGCGGTGTCCTCTACCTCACTGCCTTGTCCTGTATCCCTACAGGCCACGGGGGGGAGTCCCGGAGGAACGCCACACTCTGGAGCATCCTCAACGCCTGCAGTGGGCGTCCTTTCCCGGCCTTCTCCTCTGACGACCCTGGGCGCATCTATGCCTTCCGTGGTAAGCAAGCTGGTTGGGGTGGGTGGGTGGGTGGGTGGGCAGGCCAAATGTGGGCTGCAAGTGCAGCTCAGCGAACTCATAATCGGGGAGTGTAGTGGGTCCCGTGGGGTACTTCCCTCATGCTTCCATGGGGCAGATTCACACGTGATGAGGCCTAGCCCTGAGTTTGCTCTAAGTCTAAGCTAAGTGGGAGGAGGGGTTAACAGCATCCTCTTGGTGCAGCTGCTGTGCGGTTTAGCCAGAGCGTGCGAGGCAGCCTGCCTCTGCTTCTAGGGGTGGTTGGGCCGGGGTGCCTCGTCCTGGGGGCACCTCAGCTGAGGGCTGGTGGGGCCTCTAACTGCTGCCGGCTCTCCTCCTCCACTCAGGTGGCCACTACTTCCGGGTGGACTCTGTACGAGACGGGCTGCACCCTTGGCTTCTGAACCACACCTGGTCAGGGATGGAGGGCGAGGTGGACGCCGCGTTCAGCTGGGCAGACAAGCTCTACTTCATCCAGGTGAGCTGCCGAGGGAGGCGGGCTTTTGCATCCTTCAAAGATCTGGGCCTCTGCCCTCATCGCAGGACGCACCTTTAGGGGCGGACAAGCCACTGTGGGTCACCGTCTCTGCTCCTGTCCCCTCCCCTTGGCTGGGGCAGAGCAGCCCCTCATTTTGTGAGGAAAGCTGGCAGTGGGGCATTTTTCTTGCAAGGGGGCTCCTCACCCGGCTGCTGCTGCTGCACTGACGCCCCACCCCGCACCCCGAGGCAGCCTCCAGGAAGATCGTCCTGCACGAAGGGGCCTTGCTGGCTCAGACGTGCTTGGCAGCTGAAAAGAGAGAGGTGCCAACCTGGGGCTTTGGCTGCCATTTCAGTAAACTCTGCCCCCCCCCAGCTCCCTTCAAGCGCTCCTGGGCCCTTGACTGCGTGTCTTGGGCAGGCCAGAGGGCAGGCCAACCCCCGGAGCCAGAAGAGTGCTCAGTAGAACCGCAGTCCCTTCAGAGAGCCCCAGAAAAGGACCAAAATTTGGGGCAGCAATCAGGGCATCCTGGAGGTGCCAGCCTCGGAGGTCAATTGGGGGGAGCAGGGTGGGGGGGCACCTGAGGCTCAGCAACTGCCCTTCCTCTCTCTCGCTGCTCCCTGCAGGACTCCCAGGTCACCATCTACAGATCTGAGCACGGCTACATCCGCGTGGAGGGCTACCCCAGGTCCCTCCTGGAGGAGCTGGGTGTGTCCCAAGCAGACGCTGCCTTCACTTGCCCTCACTCCTCGCTGCTGTACATCATCCAAGGTGCGCAACCAAAGAGGGGGTGGATGGGGGAGGGGCTCAGAGGGCAACCTCTCCCAAGGACACCCTTTCTGGGTCTAGCCAGTCCCTGGCCTTGCTTAAAGTCCAAAGCCAATCACAGCTTTGTATTGCAAGTGGCTTAGATCTCTGATGGGCTAGAGAAGGAACACAAAAACGAAAACACAACTCTCACCCCATTCCTAACCCAAAGCGCAGGTGAAAAGCTCAACCACCCCTGCGAGGGATTGTCCTGAAACCAGGCCCCTCACCTGGGAAACACCTGGCACTGATGGGGAAGTGCAATCCCTGGAAACCCCCCCCTCCCCGGGCTGAGCAGGATCCCATCTATGTTTTAGATGGAAATGTGTGTGCGTGCAGTGAAGGAAGCAGATGAGAGGAGGGGGGGGGCTTTGGAGACTTGGAATGGGGGGGGGAGGGCGTTTCTGTTTGTGGCCAGCCCCACCCAGCCTGGCATCCCAGATCAGGCCCCTCTGATGCCCCTCCCTCCCTCCCCCCCTCCCTCCCAGGAAATCACCTTCTGCCGATTGACCTGCAGCAGAGTCCTCGTCGCCCCGGGCCAGCGCGGCTCCTCCCCCACCCCCGCGTGGACAGCGCCATCTGCACCTCCAAGGGGGTCTTCCTGTTCGTCGGGGCGGACTTCCACCAGTACCAGGACGTGGCCCAGCTCAGCGCCGCCACCGTCCCCGCGCCAGCCCAGAACGCAGCGGCCGTCCTTTTCCGCTGCTCTCCCTCCGGGGCTCCCCAGCATCCTCCCCCGGGGGGGCACCGTCCCCGAGACACCCCTCAATAAACCTCGTCTCAGCAATTCTGTGAACGCTGCGTGTGTGTGTGTGTGTGTTTATGGGTGAGACGCCCACTCGGCAAGGAGCCCTGCAGACCAGCACGGGGGGGGGGAGTACAGGGGGAGGGGGTCTGGACCCAGACAGCGCCGAAGGCCACCCGGGCGCGGCTGTCTCAGAGGGGACCTAGCCGCCCCGCCTCCGGAGCGGGGACCGGGCGTGCAGGAAGGGCGAGACGAGTCGGGCTCGGTAGAACAGGCTTTTATTGAGGGCCGCTTAACTCGGCCGTTGGCAAGCGGGAGCCCGCTGGCCTCGGGGGGCTTAGCCGAAAATGCAGACGGTGCCCGAGGCCAGGCGGTGGTGGTACTCGTGCAGGAGGCTGGCGGCCAGCGGGAAGCTGCTCTTTGTTTCCAGCTTCCCCGGCACCACCAGGACGGTGACGCCGGGCCCGAGCCCTTCGGCCAGCTTCTGCAGCATGCGGCGGGCGAGGTAGCCGCGGGCGCGGGCCGGCTCGGCCTCCAGGCTGGCGTAGACCTCGGGCGGCGGGTTGGGCAGCTTCCACTCCAGCTCGCCGATCAGCTGGTTAGTGCGCGCCCGGTCCAGGGCCGAGGGGCTCTCCCGGTAGCAGGCCACCAGGCGGAGGCCCGCGGCGCCCCGGGCGGTGACGAAGCTACCCTGGGCCAGCACCTCCCCGCCGCCCGCCTCGCCCTCCGCCTCGCCCTCCGCCCGCCAGGCCATCACGGCCCAGCACAGCCAGTCGTAGTTCTGCTCCAGCTTGCGCAGGACCGAGGCGGCCAGCTCGGCCGGGTCGGGGGGCTCCCCCGCCTGCTCCAGGGCGCGCTCCACATCCTCCTGGGCCTGCTCGCGGAAGTAGCCCTTGCACTGGGCCAGCGCCTCCTTCATGCGCCTGTGCAGCGCGGCCACCCGCTGGTCCCAGACGCCCAGCAGCAGGGCCGGGTCGCGCTTGGCCAGCCCCGCCTGGCACAGCAGGCAGAGCAGCCCGGCGCCCAGCACGGCGTTCAGCTTCTGGCAGAAGAGCGCCATCTGCGGGCGGCGCGGGCGGTGGCGCTGCACGGCCTGCTCCAGCAGGGGGCGCTGCAGGGTGAGCACGGCGTTGCCCTGCAGGCGGCGCCACAGGCACAGCAGGCGGCGCTCCAGCTTGTCCCGCGCGCAGCCCTGAGCGAAGAGCTCCGTCTCCAGCCGCGCGGCCGGTGGCGCCGCTCGCACCGCCAGGCACAGCTGCCCGAAGGCGGCGGCCACGGAGTCCTCGCAGACGTCCAGCCCGCCGTCCTCCAGCAGCCCCGGCCCCGCGGCCAGCTCGCGCTCCAGCAGCTCCACCTCCCTGCGCACGAAAGCCAGCTCCTCGGCGGTGGCCGCGCCCCCCTGCAGGTGGGACACGACCCCCAGGGCCAGCGAGCGCAGCGACTGCAGGAAGCCCACCGGTTCCAGGCACTGGGAGAAGAGCGCCATGCCGCGTCCTGCGAAGAGAGGCGGGAGGGCTCAGAGTGCTTTGCTTGCCCGCCGCCAGTCGAGGGGCCGGAGCCCGGGACCCCCGCGGTCTGCCCGAGGCGGCGTTGCTGACCCTCAGCGCTGCGGGTTTCGTTCCTTCCCCCAGGAGCTGGGCTCCCTGACCGGCGGGATGCTGCTTCCACCCGGCCACTGTGGGGGCAGCAAGGTGGCCTGTTCACTGGAAGCCCACGGAGGAATGTTCTTGGCCTCCTTGGTTGGCTGTGGAAGGCCTGGGCCAAGGGGCTTTGGAGGGGTCCATGGCAGCAAAGTAGCCCCTGACCCTCCCCTGGTCACTTAAGGGAAAGGGGCAAAGACTAGTTGAAAGAGCCTTTTAGGGAGACAACCGCTGAGTCCTTGGAGGTTTGACCCCCCCCAGGGCCCCAGTGAGGTTGAGGGGAAAAGAAAGGGAAGAGGCAGGTAAGCCCCCCCCCATCCTTTGTGGTGACATGTCCCCAAAAATGTTTTAATTTTTCAGCATTCAAGCTGAGGGGAAGAATCCAGCAGCTTCCCCATGCCTAGATGGAGGCAGGTGACTAATTATTTCGACTTAATTGATGACCCCCACCCCCAGCACAAGCCACAGGCAAGTCCAGCTGAGCCAAGCTCAATCTTGGGATGACCCAGGCTGGTGGGGCCCACAGCAGCTCTGCCTTCTCCAGGGCCACAGAGGAGGGTGGAGGGGCCCTGCTTCCCCAGGTCTGGCCCAGGCGGTGGTTCCACTCGGAGGCTGGGCAGGACTCGCCCTCAGGGCTGCCCTTGCGCTGCCCTCCAGGGGAGGCGGGCAGGCAGCCCCAAGAGGAGGAGGAGGAGGAGGAGGAGGAGGGGCCGCCCTCCGGCCTGTGCTGTGAGATCGCCAAGGGCATGGCCCACCTCCTGCATCCTTGGCCAAGCACTGGCAAGGGGGCTGCTGGGCACAGCGGGAGAGGTGGAGGGCAGCCTGTTCCCAGGGGAGGGTCAAAGCTTTCTCAAGGGGGCTGGGAAGAAGTGGGGTTTCCCCAGCAGGTGCCCCCACAAGCATGCAGTCCCAGGGATGCATAGTCTGGCCTGGTGGGGGGCAATGAACAACTTGCCTATCACCCAAAGCCCTCTCCTCAAGGGCAAGGGGCCGAGTGCGGATCCCCTTGCAGCAGGGACCCTCCCCTTTCTGACCTTCCCTGCCTCAGGTCTTTCCCTGGGATTCTCTCTGCCCAGCTCCCTACTCGGGGCCTCAGCTGGGGACCGGTTGAGCCTTACCTGATGGCCTAGCTCTTGCAAAGTTCCACCTGGACTGGACACCTGCTGGTACCTGCTGCGTCCCTGATAAATCCCCAACTTATCTCTGCCCCGCCCACCCGAGCCGCGTGCTCAGAGGTTTTGCCTTGGGCCTCGTCCAGCTGGACCCCCTCCAGAAGCTCTGTGGACGTGTTGAGGGGGTGGGTGGATAGATATAATTCCCTGGAGAGAATGTGGGGGGGGGGGGCGACTTTCGTGCCTTCTCTTCGGTATTCCCTATCTGGTTTTCTGCTTGTTGGTGGCTTTTCAGGAGCCGGCAGGTTGAGGGGGGGGTTGAACCCCAATCCTTCAAACAGCCTCTGCTCAATGGGCCTCTGCCCCCTCTGGCCGGCTCTCCCTTCCTGGCAGGGAGGAGTCCTATTCATTTGCCTCTGTCTTGTCCCACTGAGGGAGGGGGGGGCCCTGCAGGCCAGTTTTCCAACCTCCGAAGGCTTTGCTGATTAGGGCCCAGCTGCCCTGCTTCGTTTGGCCTCATGGAAAGGAGGTGCCCACCCTGCCCTTGCGGCCTTGGCCCTGGCCTGAGCAGCCCCTCTGCTCTGGGGCAGGTTGTGACTTCCATGTCCCCTCCTTGGCATCTTCAGGGCAGCCCCCGCTTCTCTTTCACTGGACTAGCAGACACCCAGCCGGAAGGGCGAGGGTTAAGTGTGCGGGGGGGGGGGAGGTTGCTGGCAGGTATGGACTCTGGTGCAGGAGCCTATGGATGCTGGAGAAGATTGGCAGCTGCACCAGACCGCCGCCCTTTTGCCAGTGCTGGGGAAAGAGGGCGCAGCTGCAGGCTGGGAGGACCCAGCTGTGTCCTGGGGGGGGCACCCTTGTCTCCCTCCTAGTGCTGTCCTACACGTGTCGTCCTGCTTGCACGGTCTTGGGGAGAGGTGTGAAAAATTGATGGTGCAAAGTGGCAGAAGATGGGGGCTGTTGCATTGCTTCTCTTGTTGGTGCCCTGCCCCTGCCCGCCTGTTGAGTCTCTTCCTTGCTGCACTTGGCATCCAGGGCGTTTTTGATGCTCACCCTCGTAGCCCCCCTGTGTCATGTGTCTGAGTAACGAAACACTTAGTTTTGTTACTTAGTCGGTGCAAACTGCAAACTGCCGACTAAGTGAGCTTCAGAGCATCACGGTGGTTGTGGCTGCACACTTAGTTTCGTTACTTAGTCGGTGCAAACTGCCGACTAAGTGAGCTTCAGAGCATCACGGTGGTTGTGGCTGCACAGGACTCTGCTTGAGTGGCGCTGAGGGCCGCCTTCTCATGCTGGCCCAGGAGGCCAGAGGCCAACCGGCCAGTTGCCCAGCCTGGCATGCAGACCCCTCCAAGATACGTCACACCCGAGCCCTCCTGCCCAGGCCACAGCCTGGCATCCAAGGCAGAACCCCGCTCTCTGCTGCTTCCCCTCCCAGGATTAAGTGAAGGAACAACTTCATGGGCTTTTTATGGATTTTTAATTCAAACATGGTTTTATTCTAAGTATATAAAATGTTACCAGTGCTAACAATTTTGTTTTCTAATTTGCAATATCCCCTTAGCACAGTGTTTCTCAACCTTGCCAATTTTAAGGCATGTGGACTTCAACTCCCAGAATTCCACAGCCAGCATTGCTGGCTGTGGAATTCTGGGAGTTGAAGTCCACATGCCTTAAAATTGGCAAGGTTGAGAAACACTGCCTTAGCAACACTTGGAAAGATAGACTCAAGATTCAGAAGGATCTTGACAGACTTGAGCCCTCACCAACAAGACACAGAGTCAGTAGTGAGAAAAGCACAGCCTGCACTTGGGCAAAAACAAGCAAAGAAACAACAAGAAAAAAAACACCCAAATCCACAGGTACAGAATGGGCAGTGCCTGGCTCAAGAGCAGTAACTGCAAGGGAGATCTAAGAGTCCTAGCACACCGCCATTTAAATAGGAGCCAGCCGTGTGCTGCAGCTGCCAAAAAAGCCACCGCAATCCTGGGCTGCATCAACAGAGGGACAGCATCAAGTTCATGTAAGGGACAGTCCCACTTTGCACTGCACTGGTGAGGCCACACTTGGAATTCTGCACCCAGTTCTGGTCACCACGATAGAAAAAAGATCCTAGAAAGTGCAGAGAAGAGCAACCAAGATGATGGAGGGTCTGGAGGCTAAACCAAACAATGAACGATTGAAGGAACTGGTTATGTCTAGCTAGCCTAACCACGAGAAGGATGGCTGTCTTCCAGTACTTGAGGGGATATCACAGTGAAGGGAGGGGAGTCCACCTACTCTCCAA